GTCACACACCCCACACACATCCTTACCACCACACCCACTCCAAAGCCTCACCAGTTCCCAGCGGAGCTGGCTCAGGAAGCTGTCAAGGCGAGCGCTGTGCATGTTGGTGTTGGTGCTGTAGCCCTCTCCAGGTCGTTCGGCTCCTTCTCGATCACCCGCGGGAGCAGCGCAGAGTGGGCCGGGTCGGCCCGCCAGCGGCGTCGTCACCCTTGCCTTACTCCCAGGCTCCTCGCTCTCCGTAGCTCCCGCCGCTGCCGCCCCAACATCTGGCAGCTGCGCCCTGCCCCGCCCCCGGCGCCCTAGCCAAAGGAGGCGGGGCGGACTGAAGATGTCCTACCCCTTTCAGCTCCGCCTTCCAACCCCGCACGGCCAAAAGCAGCTCAGGACCCCCTGGTTTAGAGTGACGCAGGACAAACAACCTCCTCCTGCCACCCACGCGTTCGTCTAGTGGTCTCAGCTTTTCAGTTTGTCCCCTGGTGAAGTAGCGGTCTCTAATACTGGGGCCGCGATGCGACTCCCACGTGTGGGCACTGCGCCCGATTGTCTAATCTGACGATTTTGTGGCCACTCAGGGTCTGTCAAAGCTGGCCTTGACAATCCCTGGAAATGGTAGGACTTAGATTGGTGACTACTCTGCGAAGAACCTTAAGGGAAGGGCCACTGCTAAATTCCCTCCGGCATCCCTCTAGCCCGGTCTGAGCCGAAGTAGGCTGGACCGCCCTCTAGTGGGGATCGCGGGGCTATGGTCTACATTCCCACTCCCCAGCATCAACAATCGCATGGACGAATGGAAAAGGAAAACTAGCCTTTGGCCAGAATATTCAGAGCCTTTTCCCTGAGGCCACTCCATAATCAAAGGTAGAGTCTATCGAGGCCGACTGGTACTATCAATAGACAGGAAAATATAGGAGAACGAGAGCAAGAAGTTCAGTTGAGGCATAGATAGGACTCTTTAAAAGATGTGGCTGAGCTGGGTGGTGGTGGCACATGCCCTCAATCCCAGCACTTCGGAGTTAGAGGCAAGCGGATCTCTGTGAGTTCCAGGCCAGTCCGGTCTACAAAGCGAATTCCAGGTAAGCCAGGACAGTTACACAAAGAAACAACGACAACAAAAAGATGTGGCAGACATCGATATGCAACAGATGTTTGTGAGGGGTGGGGCAGGAGTCTGTGGATTAAGGGGAGAAGTCATCCAAACCAAGCTTCGGCAGCCTTCGGGGGAACTCTGCGTTTTATTTTTGGTGCCACAAGGAGCACTGAACTTTTTTCAGGGAATGACCAGTGCTGGTTCCTATGAGACACATTGTTTAGGGGAATGACGCTGTAATCAGAACTGAGGCTCTACGCTTTATCCCAGGCAAGGGTGTGTGTATGCAAGCCTAGGTCTGGGCCCAGAAGGTAAACAGGAGCAGCGTTCTAGAGGGGTGGTTCTCAGCCTTCCTAAAGTCGCCACCCTTTAATAATACAGTTCCTCATGTAGTGCTGACCCCCAACCATAAAATTATTTTGTTGCTACTTCATATCTGTAATTTTTCTTTTGTTTTGTTTTTTGAGACAGGGTTTCTCTGTGTAGTCCTGGCTGTCCTAGAACTCACTATGTAGACCAGGCTCGCCTCAAACTCAGGGATCTTCTTGCCTCTGCCTCCCAAGTGCTGGAATTTAAAAGCATATGCCACTACACCTGGCGGTAACTGTAATTTTGCTACTGTTACGAATTATAATGTAAATATCTCACATGAATCCCCCAGCTACGGGACTCATAACTGTCTATAATTCTAGTTCCATAACGTTTGATGCCTTCTTCTGGATTCTACAGGCCTTGTAAGCACATGCTTCACAGACATACATGCAGGCAAAACACCCATGCACATTACAAATAAATAATTTAAAAGGAAAGAGAGACTTGTGGAATATTTAACTGTGTAAAGAAGTGCTCCATCTGTTTATGCTGCCTTTGTTAACAATGTAAAGATGTGTTATATTTGTTTCACCTTGCCTGCCTAATTGGTCTACTAAAAAGCTGAAGGGCCAGCAGCTAGGCAGGAGAGGGATAGATGGGGCTGGCTGGTAGAGAGACTGAGTAGGAAGAGAATCCAGGCTAGAAAAAGAAGAAAAGGAGGAAGAAAAAGAGGGACATGTCCAGGGCCAGAAGCTAAGCGGCCACCAGACAGACAGACACAGAATAGATATACAAAAAGAAAGAAAGATAAAAATCCCCAAGGCAAAACATAGATAAAGAGAAACAGATTAAAATAAGTGCTAGGACCAAGCATTCCTAATTGATAATAAATTTTCACATCATTGGGAGCTGGTTGATGGCCCAAAAGAAAAAGCCTGGTACAACTTGTCTTGAAAAATAAAAAAATAAAATAAATCTTCAAAAAAAATCTTTTAAAAAACAGTCTGAAAGACTAGGAGAGAGCAAATGATCACTGTGGACATGTGAGCCTTGAGGAAATGCAGGGTCAGCAGGTAGGTGTAGGACTGTGGAGTTCCACGAGAGAGGAACATCGGAGGATTACAGTGGGAGGTAAACGCCAGGGGTGGTACTTTAGGCCACGGCCTTGCCGGAGGTGTAAAGGAGGTGTAAAGGAGGGGAGTGGTGAGCAGTTTTCGTGCCCTGAAATATTTCGTTGGATGGAGGTAAGAAAGGCGAAGCCACAGCCGCAAAGCTGGACAAGAGTAGAGAAGTGCGCGCAATGTGCAAGAGCATGCGTGTTTAGAGCCAAAGGGAGCAAGCATCAAGTCCTTTGGAGGAGTGAGGGTGAGGGACAGATGTCTGGGGTTGGGGTTGAAACAGTTCAACCAGTGAGGTACTTGCCATACAAGGATGAAACCCCGAAGCTACTCAGAACCCATGTGAAAAAGCCATGTGTGGCCACAAGGGTTTGCAACCCCAGTGTGAGCAGCAGACGCAGGCTGATCGCTGAGGTTTATTGGCAGGCAGCCTAGCCCGGTTGATGATCTCCAGTGAGAGATTCTGTATCAAGCGACAAACCAAGGTGAACAGCTCCTGAGCAATGACACCCAAGGCTGACTGCGGGCCTCCACATGCCTACCAGTCCAAACACACACCTCCCCGTACACACAGAAGAATAAACTTCTGGCTTCAGAGTGTGCAGTGGTCTGGGCAACATAATGAAGCCCTGTCTCAGAATAGAGCCGGTGGAATGACTTATTGGATACAAAAGCCCTAAGACCCTGAATTCAATCCCTGGATCCCAGAGTAAGAGAAAGCTGACTCCTGAAATGGTCCTCCGACCTCCACATAAGTGTCTGGCATTTGCCCATACATCACGCATCACTCACTCTCTCACACACACACAAATAATAATCAAAATTAACAAAATAATGAAACTGGAGAAATAGCTCAATCCTTAAGAATATTTGCTGCTCTTTCAGAGGACCTGGTTTTGATTCTCAGCCACCATATGGTGCCTCAAAACCGTCTGTAGCTCTGATTCCAGGATATCTGACACCCTCTTCTGACCTCTGTGAGCCAAGGCATGCATATGATACACACAATATATGCTGGCAAAGCCCTCTCATAGAAAATAAAAGTAATTAAGCCAGGTGGTGGTGACTCACACCTTTAATCCCAGCACCTGGGAGGCAGAGACAGGCGGATCTCTGTGAGTTTGAGGTCAGCCTGGTCTACAGAATGAGTTCCAGGACAGGCTCCAAAGCTACAGAGAAATCCTGCCTTGGAAAAAAAAAAGGGGGGTGGGGGGCTGGAGAGATGACTCAGAGGTTAAGACTACTAACTGCTCTTCCAGAGGTCCTGAGTTCAATTCCCAGCAACCACATGGTGGCTCACAACCATCTGTAAGAAGATCTGATGCCCTCGTCTGACCTGCACGAATACATGGAGGAAGACCCCTGTACATATAATTAATAAATAAATCTTTAAAAAAGAAACCCAAAAAAATAAAAACTAAAGTAAATAAGTGCTAAAAAATTAAATTGGTAAAAGAAAATCAGTGGTCATTGAGGTTCCTGCCAAGGACAGTTTTGCGGAGAGAGGGACGAGCCTACTCATGTGGCTAGAATAGAGAGTGATAAAAGTCTAGAGAGAGCAGGAGGAGAAAAGTTGAAAAAATGCTAATCGTTGGTGAAGACCTGTAATTCCTGCACGAGACGTGGGAGGGCAGGAGGAGAATTAATTTGAGACCACTCTGGACGACACAGAGAGACCTTCTCTCAAAGTTTTTTTTTTTTTTTAATACGATAATAAACTGACAAATCTCAAAGATACTGGCTCAGTAAATCTTAAACTGCCGAGCTTTGAGCAGTTGCCTTTGCAGATCAATACATAACCCATCTTCAGGCCCTCTCAGAAGCGGCCCTTTGTCCCCTCCAGCTGATAGCCCCACAAGTAACTTTTCCCTCATGACAGGGTTTCTCTGTGTAGCTGCGGCTGTCCTGGACCTCACTCTGTAGACCAGGCTGGCCTCGATCTCACAGAGATTTGCTTGCTGGGGTTAAAGGCGTGTGCCACCTTGCCTGACTGTAACCATTATCACTTTTATTTCATCTACAAAAGATCCTTCTGTTTGTTGAAGTAGACGACTTTTGGGAGGTTTTCTTGGTGGCTGAGCTTAGGTTTTGCAGGCAGCTCGGATTGTGATGGTGGGAGGAGGCAGCAGGAATGCAGACACTGGGGGGTGGCTGGTCTTGGGGCTAATTTTCCTAGGCACTGTACTTGCTCTGTCTCCAAGGACAATGTGACCAGTTTCACCATCTGTAGCTGAGCCTCCTACCCTTGTATCCCCTTAGGGCTGGGGTAATGAATGGAAGAATTCACTGGAAACAGCCGAAGATGGGATTTTCCAGCCCCTCCTGGAGCCTGCCAGGGGTCCAAAACTCTGTCTGCCGGGAGGGAGGAGGAGCTGCACTCTGGGAAGCCTGCCTGACAGCTATGTTCAGCTATGTTTAAGCAACTAACCTGGCAACAGAGTTAGCTTAACAAACAGCTCCCTCTGCCATTTCTTTAGGCTACCATGGCGCTGGTCAGGCTCCTGGCGCTTCTTTTTGCTTCACTTACCTCTGGTGAGGAGCAGGTGGGTGGGTGGGGGGACTCCAGTTTCCCAGTGAATTTCTGATCTTTAGATAAGCTAATGGGGGGGCAGAGGCCGAGGGACCCCTGACCCTTGTTCCTTATCTTGACTGTTTCTTCAAGTTCTCTCTCTCCCTACATCATATGTAGGAGGCAGGAAGGACTTTGGTTGCTTGACCTCAAGATGTGGTCAGGGCCTGAAGAAAAAGGTATTGCTATGTTTCTGTATGTGGCTTTCTCTTAGTCCTCCACAGCCTGCCCTGGTCTATAGATATCTCTGAGAGCCAAGGTCCTGGCACTGCCCTTCCATCTTTGCCCTTCAACTGTTCCTCCTACATGGCCACCTTGGAGTTACTCAGTGTGAGACCCCCCACCAGCTTCTTCAACAAACCCAGCCTGCACAGGAGTGATAAGGAAATCTACCTGGGAAAGGTAAGGTCATGGGTACCACTAGGGATTGTGAGGGCCAAAGGCAGAAGGTGTGTCCAGAGACAGAGCGCCTAGGCCCTGCATGTTGTTGCCACCCCACCACAGGTGACCTTGAGCCCCTCTGCTCGGCTGGATGCCCTTGCAGTGAACCGCTATGAACTTCAGCTGCAGTTCACATGTGGTAACTCTGTGTTGGCGGGACCACTCTTTGTTCATGTGCTGCGGGACTCTGGTCGTATCCGGTGTGCTGGTCCATTTGCCAGCCCAGGTGAGGCTCGGGTGGCAGGGGAGAGGGAAAGCCTGGCCTGGCAGAACCTCCCTGACTTCCTCTCTGGACAGCTGGGGAATTCATCCATGTGCCAGAGACAGTCACACCTGGGGCCGTGCTCTATACTGTGCTGCTGCCAGGCCTCAGAGTCCAGAGAGCCCAGGTAAGCTCAGCTCCCAGGGTGGTGAGTGACAGGGTGTGGGGGGCAGTCACAGGGAGAGAGATCTCAGTTCGTGCCAGGCCAGGCATCGCCTCTAAGATCCCGAAGTAGATAGCTGAACCTCTACATGATATGTGTTCTTGGAGAGGGTCCCTAAGGGCTGTCTACCCTCCCACTGCCAAGGGCAGTTTCCCACAGGGACCCAAATCTTCTGAGTTCTATGTGTTTTGCATTCCGCATGACCATTTTTTTAAAAATCACTTTTGTAACTCTAGAAAGAACTGTGGGCTTTTCCCCATTTTTTTATTGTGAGTCTATGCACATGGGTATGTGTGAGCTTACACAAGCTGTGACACGCATGTGGAGTTTAGAGGACACCTTCTGGGTGTTGGTTCTCTCCTTCCACCCTGTGGGCTCCCCGGGTCAAACTCAGGCTGTTCAGGCTTGGCAGCAAAGGCCTGAGTCAACCCTATTGTGGAAGATTTTAACGAGGCACAGGTGTGTGGCATTTGTTTCTGTTGCAGACTATGGCTTTAACTGTGTAAAGTGTGTTACCTTTGTTTCTGCTGTATTTGTTTAATTTTCTAAAGATGTGCTGCAGCTGTTGCTGTTCCACCTTGCCTGCCTAAGGCACCTGGAATGGTTCAATAAAGAGCTGAAGAGCCGATAGCTAGTCAGGAGAAAGGCTAGGCGGGGCTGCCAGGGAGAGAGAGTGAATAAGAGACATCGAGGCTTGAGAGAGAAGGGAGGGACAAGAGGAGAGAATGAGGGGCACTCCTGGAGCAAGAAGTCAGGCAGACACCAGCCAATCAGACACAGAGCACCAGTGAAAGTAAGATATACAGAAGTGGGCTGGAGAGATGGCTCAGAGGGTAAGAGCACTGCCTGCCCTTCCAAAGGTCCTGAGTGCAGTTCCCAGCAACCACATGGTGGCTCACAACCATCTGTAATGAGGTCTGGTGCCCTCTTCCGGCCCGCAGGTATACATGCAAACAGAATACCGAGAATATTGTATAAATATAAATAAATAGATTAAAAAAAGATATACAGAAGTAAGAAAGGCAATAAGCCCAATGCAAAACATAAAGGCAAATAAGTTAATTTATTAGAAAGAGCAAGCCAGAAAAAAACAAAAAGAGCCAGAGAGCCAGAAGGCTGAGCATTCAAAACTAATAAGTCTTTGTATCATGATTTGGGAGCTGGTTGGTGACCCAAAAGAAAAATCCTAGTACACAACTCACAGGTTTTTGTTGTTGCTGTTTATTTTTGAGACACCCAGGGTCACATAGTGAGATCCTGTCTAAAAGAGTTTAAAAAAAAATCCTGAGGGTATTTGTTTGTTTTAGCAGTAAGTCCTGAGGATCACAACAAGGGACCGTAAGGGAGGACAGAGGCCAAGGCTGGAGTAACCAGTGGCAGGATGTAGAACTGTCATATATAAACAGCAGCCTGCTGGCTTATGGAAGGATGTTGACAGGGACACCGGGGACTGGAGAGGATCACTAATCTCTCTGTTCTGTTAGATGAATATTACGAGTGCCCAAGACCCTTCCCTCTTCCCTGGGTCTTTCTCCATCGATGATCAGGGATTACTGCGGGCACCATCCCAGGGCCTCAGAGGCCAGGCTCCAAAGGTAAGCATGGCTTCGGACCTGAGGATAGATATGGATTGGGTACGACCACCATCTCTGGAAAGTTATTTGTCCTTGGCTACCTTGACTAATATGTTTGCTGCCCCCATGTGGACTGTCCTCTCAGCCTGGCTGTGTCCAGAAAGCAGACAGACCTGTGGCTCTGGGACGCCATGGGCCCTCTAACAGTGCAGTGTTTATGGCCATCAAACTTGGAGAGAAGACTCTGGGTAAAGTGGTTAGTGAGAAGGAAGTTCCTTCTTTTTTTTTTTTAAATTAAGGCAATATAACATTGAAACTCTTTTTTTTAAATATTTATTTATTATGTATACAATATTCAATTTGCGTGTATGTCTCCAGGCCAGAAGAGGGCACCAGACCTCATTACAGATGGTTGTGAGCCACCATGTGGTTGCTGGGAATTGAACTCAGGACCTTTGGAAGAGCAGGCAATGCTCTTAACCACTGAGCCATCTCTCCAGCCCCCCAGGAAGTTCCTTCTTTAAAGTGGTCATTTCTGCAGTTCTGTGGGCTCCATTCCATCCACAGCACCACAAAAGCAAACACCCTCTGCCTCTTAGTAACTGGCTCTTAGCAGCTCTGACCTAATTCACACTTTGACTCAGAAGACTTGGTGGCCCAGAATTATAGGGCTTTAGGGATACTTGTCAGCAGCCTGGTAAGTCATAGGGTTCCTTGTGGAGGTCTTGAGGACTGCCTATTTGAAGGGAGGACTAGGAGTGGATTTAGCAGTGGATACATAACATGGTTTCCTTCCTGTCATATGTGCACTGACAGACCTTCCAGCTGCAGATTTTAGTGTCCGTAGGAAAAGGTCAAAGCTGCAATGGGATGTTGACAGTAAAGGTGTTGCCTGTGCCCTCCAGCCAAGTCTCCTTCCCGTAAGGCTTCCCTACCTTGGGAACAGTGGTGGATTCTGCATCTATCCCCAGGGAAAGAGCTGGGGTAGGCTGAAGGTGGCAGGAGCATTCTAGCTCCCATAGGAGGGGGAACCCTAGGGAGGGACCTGGGGACCCTGGTGGAGTGAGCAGGAGCAGTCAGGAACTAGGTTTGCACTTTTGGTTCAGACAGAAGGCCCAGAGTATCACCATCCTAGAGGATCTGGTCCCTGGGAGCAAGGTGATTCAGGTCCAGGCTAGGGGACTCAACTTACTCTATGAAATCATCTCCCCACTACCCAGCCCACTCTTCTCCATTGGACAAGGTGAGGAAAGGAGAGGAATGGGTATTGGGATGTCTGTAGCTGGGAAAGGGTCGTGACAAAGAGATGATGCCTACCGGAAGGACTGGAGTTGAGAGCTCTGACCTTAGAGGAAGAGGCGGGAGTGGGTCTTGGGGCGATTGGTGGAGAGCGGGACTGAGCTGGGACAAGGGTGGAGCTTTGTTTCTAACACCCTCTAGCTGACGGAATAGTGCGGACTACTGCGCCCCTGGATTTGGTCCGCGCTCAGGGCGCCTCAGTCACGAAACTGCAGGTGAGGGCCTTTGAGAGGCTCCAACCTTGGATCAGTGCCGAGTTCGATCTCACGGTTAACGTGCGGGCGGTCAACCAGTGGGCCCCACGCTGCCATCCAGCGCTACTGGTGTGAGTACCCGGAAACCATGCCAGGGCTGGTTGGGGTGAGATCCCCTTGCTCACCATTGGTCCAGACTCATGTCTTGCTTCTTGCCCTCCGCTCCTAGGACTCAAATCCCAGAGACTGCACCCGTGGGTACTGTGCTGCACACGCTCACTTGTGTTGACCCAGACTCTGCAGGCGACCCCCTCGACTACCAGCTTCAGTTCCATAACCCTCCCCACTCTGCCAGCCTCCATCTTCGTGACAGAGTCCTTGAGGTACCCAGCACCTACTCCTAGATTTCCATGCAGACACGGTGGGTGGGCCAAGGTTTGTTGGCATTGAGACTATGGATGCAGGCTGGGAGGGACCATGGCTGTGAAGACAGCCTGAGTCTGGAAAACGGGGTCAAGGTAGGCTATGTAGGCTATAACTGGATTCCCTGGTTTGAGGCACTGTGACTCAAGCTCATCTTCCTCCGGTCCCCTTGGCCAGGTGAATACTACATTGGACTGTGACACTCCTGGGGCTTGCTTCCAGCATGCAGCTTCCATCTTGGTGTTCGATAATGGTCAGCCCCAGATGACCAGTGAGTGTCCATACTTAGGCCTGAACACTCAGGACAGGGCTATTTTGTCCACCCCTTTCAACTCCCCAGATATGGACAGCTTTCTTCCCTCAAAAACTAGGTTAGGGTAGTCTCAGTCTAAGATCCCTAGGACGCGTCTCTTAAGAACCCCGTCACCACTCCCCAGAAAACCCTCCCTCCAATATAGGGCCATGTTTGCTTATTAAGAACCCTAGGGGGGGCTGGAGAGATGGCTCAGAGGTTAAGAGCATTGCCTGCTCTTCCAAAGGTCCTGAGTTCAATTCCCAGCACCCACATGGTGGCTCAAAACCATCTGTAATGGGGTCTTCTGGCCTGCAGGAATACACATAGATAGAATATTGTATACGTAATAAATAAATATTTTTTTTAAAAAAAAGAACCCTAGGGCAGGTCTGGGTACCTTGGCCCAGCTCCTTAATTGCCAAATGGTCTCCAGCGGAGGTTCCGGTCCTGGTGACGGTAACACCCGTCAACGAGTTCTCCCCAGCCTGTGTTCCACGCACGTTCCGGGTTCAGGAGAATGCAGGGCCCTACACTCTGTTGGGCTCCATAGTGGGCACGGATATGGATTACCCTCGTAACAGCCTTGAGTACTACATCTCTGGCGGACCCTCCACCTTTGCTGTGGATCGTCTCAGTGGTACTTAAACCCCAGGGCTGGGAGGGAGGGGGCCAGACTTGACTCTGCAGGCTGAGGCTGTGACCATCCCTTCTAGGAGAGCTTCACCTCCTGGGGCCTTTGGACTATGAGCAGCAGAGGCTGTATAGGATCAGTATTCTGCTGATGGATCACAGCCAAGACTGGGACCTCAACCGCCGTCGCTCAGGTTCATGTGCTGTAACCATTGAGGTTGAGGTAATTGACCTCCGGGGCCTGGGAAAGACACACTTCCTTCTGGCTTTTTGCCTTTCCATGCAAATGTCTCAGTTTCATATATAGGCCGCTCGAGAGGAGGGGCTCACTGTGGAAAACATTACCACCTAGGTTCAGTGTTTTTAAAGGAAGCTGAAGGGCTAGCCTGGGAGTCTGAGGAATGGGCTGTAGTCACCCCTAATGTGGTGGCCTTTCTCCAGGATGTGAATGACCATGCCCCCGAGTGTGAGCCTCCATTTCAGGAACTGACTCTCTACACTCCCCTGGGTCGTAGCATGGAGGTGACCAAGATGTCATGCTGGATTCCTCAGGAGCCACAGCGCTCAGCGCTCTCCTACAGCATCGTGGGAGGTGTGAATCTGTGGGGGCCACCAGGCTGTTCGTGAGGGTCAGGCTATGGTAGTAATACAGTCTTCTCCTACTACTCTGCTTTCAGGGAATAGCCAGAGCCGATTTAGACTGCAGGGGACCATCCTGATGCACAATGACACTGTATTGGGGCCACCATGGCCAGAGCAGCCCAGCACCTATGAGCTACTGATCCGTGTGGCTGATGTGGGCCCTTCCAGCCCCCACCTCAGCACCACAGCCACTATCATTGTGCATCTAGTTCCTTGGAGGGCCAGCACAGTGGCCACCAGCACCCACAGAAGCACAGTGAGGGGGTTCTCAGGCCCTTGGGGAATTGGGAGAGAGGACCTTGAAGGGTGAAGACACCTGTTTTTTTTTTTTTTTAAAGATGGAATTATGAGAGAAGACATTTTGGAGAAAACTGCTGGGTGGAAAAAAAAAAACAGGGTGTGAGGCAACTCAATTTGTCGAGACTTTGAAAGCTGGACTGTCAACAGCAGTGATGACTCTGTGGCCCTCCTTCCAGGTGTCCTCAACAATGACACCCCTGATTGTGACAGAGGTAGAGGCTTTCTGGAAGCCAGAGCCTTGGTTTGTGGTAGTGCTGACAGCAACTGGTGCAGTTTTCCTCCTGGCTCTGGGCTGGCTCCTCAGCAGGATCCTCCGGGGGTATGTTTCTATCTCTGTGCTTCCTGCCTCCCAGGCTACACACACACACACACACACACACTGGCCGGAATAGGTGGTTGTACTCACTATTTGATGGCACTGCCAACATTGGTGGGCAAATATTGAGGAGGACTCCATCATTGATGGAGTCCGGTCTTGGAATTAGATGGGCATAGACTGCTCAGAGCTTGAAATTTACCCATTCTCAACATCTGTTTTCTACCTGATATCTGCCCTGCTTCTGTGAATTGACTCCTCTGAGTCTAGGGGTAGGACAGATAACAGTGTGGGCGTCTCACGCAGGCACTGGCTCTTTCTTTCTTTCTTTTTTTTTTTTTTTGATTTTTGAGACAGGGTTTCTCCGTAGCTTTTTGGTTCCTGTCCTGGAACTAGCTCTTGTAGACCAGGCTGGCCTCGAACTCACAGAGATCCGCCTGCCTCTGCCTCGAGTGCTGGGATTAAAGGCGTGCACCGCCACCACCTGGTGCACTGGCTGTTTCTAATATAAATGGGCAGGCCTGCTACTTTCACTATTTGCCTTTTAGGTTTGCCCAGTCACTACAGGCTCCAAACAAACCAGCCAGAGCTCTGCTGCTAAACAGGTCAGTCTCCTTTACTTACCGCTAGGCCTTGGGAACCCATCTCCCAAACTTAGGCCGGAACCCAGACTCTTACCTTGTACTTCTACTCCGATTTGCCCTAGCATCCAGGGAAATGAAGGCTCCACTGGGAGGCTCATGGAGGCATCAAGAATGGAAATGTCTCAGGTACCCAGAACTCCCATGAGTCTGGTATAAGCCGAGGGCACTGAGGCTGCTTTAGGGTTCTCCCTAGCCCTGAGAAGCCTGACCTTACTGCCTGTGAGTGGCCTTCCTCCTGCTCCCTGTGGGCAAGGTTCAATCACTGTGCCCTTCTATTCTTTTCAGCAGCATTTGGATGGCAGAGCACACGATGTCCGTAAGTCTCAACTTTTTATACCTATTCTCTCCCTGGACCCTCTCCCTTTCTCAGAATTTTCTCTTCCCTTTAACCATCTCCATTTTTACTGCTGCCACTAAGCAGCCACCATCAACATCTTCACCGACTGAGCTCTTCTCTCTTACCCCAACTTACCCTCTCTCACCCCCTCAGTCTCAGTCAACTTTCGTCAAGCACCGATGGGGTCAGTGACAACTCAGACCTTGTCTTGTTCCAGCTCACAGCGGGAGGGACAGTGGTCAGGGAAAAGCTCCCTAGATATTCCAGTTTCACCAGTATAATTGTAGCACAGTCACCTGGCATTGCTTCTGGAGGGGATCTGGTATCCATTGGCTTTCTGTTCATTTGAGTTGAACCTCGGGGTTCTTTGTTGAGAAGGGAAGGAGGGAGATAGATAGGTTGGATCCCTGGGGAAGGGGCCAGCAGTCCCATCTCCCCTCCTCTCTCCTGCTCCTCTAGGTTCAGGCACAGGGAGAGATTACCTGTTCAGCATGCGCACCGGAGCCCGGCGTTGGCTCTGAGGCCAAGCAGCTGTGTCACTGTGGACTTCCCTTTTCACATGATCATAGCCTGCCTTTGCAAGTTGATTTAGCAATAAAGATTACAAACAGAACACTACCCACCTTGCAATCTTTGTGTGGGAGAAGCTCTGAGGTCTGTTGTCTTGTTCTTACTTACCTGCTTGTGGGAACCCTATGGAACAGAAGATTTCTTCTCTTTGAAGAAGCGTTGTCTGATGCTCTAACAGTGACTGACACTTTGTAGAAGAGGCTCTTATCTTTGTTAGTGACTGACAGGCCTCCAGTTGTCTTCTCAGAGATTTGCTTTTTGTTTATTTTTTTGAGAGGGTCTCAATGTGTTACCCTGGTTGGCCTGGAACTCTTTCTGTGGATCAGACTGGCTTCAAATTCACAAGTCCCACCTTTTGCCTCCTCAGTGCTGGGATTAAAGGTGTGTACCATCATACCCAGCAAGACTTGGTGGTTTTTTGTTTTGTTTTGTTTTTTTGAGACATGATTTCTCTGTGTAACAGTCCTGGGTGTCCTGGAACTTTTTTGTAAACCAGGCTGGCCTCAAACTCAGAGACCTATCTGCCTCTGCCTCCCAAGTGCTTGGATTAAAAGCAAGTGTCACCACCACCAAGCAAACTAGGGAGACAGTGTCCTCCTATATAACCTTGGCTATCCTGAAACTCACTTGTAGACCAGTCTGGCCTTGAGCTCACAGAGATCTTCCTGTCTCTATCAAGCGCTGAAATTAAAGGCATATACCACCATGCCAGGCAAAAATTTAAAGACATGGTTTACTTTTGTAGTTTAAACAGGCTTTGAACTTGCATGCCTGCCTCAGTCTTGTGAGTGTTTGGAATATAGTCACATGGGTGCCTTGACACTAGTACATATATGTCCGTGCACATGGCAACCAGAGGACAGCCTAAGATATCACCGCCATCGCCACCCTCCCACCCCCCTTAAGACAGGTATCTCACTGACCTGAAACACTCGCCAAGGCCAGGCTGGCTGACCAGTAAGTCCTACCTAGGCTCTTTTCCCTTTCCCAGCACTGGGATTACACATGAGCATCACCATGCTTAGTTTTTACTTCACTTTTTAAATATACTGCGGATTCTCTTCAGCTGTTGGTTTTTGGGAGTCTCACCAGCCCTCACGGGCAGCTTGTCAGTGTTATGTAGAGGTTTTATCAGGAAGGATCTGGAATTTCTGCATAAAGTAAAGGGGTGGGAAGGATGTGGGAATCTGTGCTTAGCTGGTCATGGAGGGGTTGAGGAAAGCCTCTTTCCGGTGGTGATGCCACGGCTTCGTATGTTTGCCCTCTTTCCTTATTAGCTCTTTCTGTGCTAGTCTAGGTTGTTGCTCATAGTCAGGGGCTTTATAGCAGCCTGCAGAACAGATTTTACTATGCGCAATGCTGACCCCATGCCCAACCTAACACCGTGTTTGTCTCCAAGAGTACCTGCTGTCTGAGTAGAGGCTACACTTTATTACTTCAAGTAATCTCACTCTTCCTCTCTTGTCAATACTGTGGGACTGAACTCTACTTGAGAATTGGACAATCTCCATCCTGGGGCCAGTTATTGTACCCTAGGCCAGAAAGAGTATGAATGCCCTTTGGAAAAGGCACTCCTCTGGTCTGGTCTTACTTTAGAGACAGGGTCTCATAATGCAGCCCTAGGCTGGCCTGGAACTCACTATTTAGACCAGGCTATCCTTAAATCCAGAGACTGGCTTGCCTCTGCCCCTTGAGAGATTGAAGGTGGTGTGTACTACCATGCCCTGCCCAAAAAACTCTAAAAATTATATGTGTGTCTGTGTCAATACATGTCATATGGGTGCTGGTGTCCATGATGGCCAGAAGAGGGTGTTTGGTCTTATGAAACTGGATCTATAGGCTGCTGTGAGCTGCCTGATGTGGGCAGGTTTTCTGAACATGGTTTACTTTTCATAATGGTGTTTTCATCAAAGCAAGAACGTTAGAGGCACCAGGTGACGGTGGCACATGCCTTTAACCCCAGCACTTGGGAGGCAGAGGCAGGTGATCTCTATGAGTTCGAGACTAGCCTAGTCTACAAGAGCTAGTTCCAGGGTAGCTCTAAAGCTACCTTGTCTAGAAAAACAAACAAACAAAAACAAAAAACAAACAAACAACAAAAAAGAACGTTAGAGGCTTCAGGTTCAGCAGCCTGAGAGTGGCTACTGGGGTGGGGGGTGGGGGGTGGGGGGGTACCTGAGTACTTGGCTTATTCTAAGAGCTTACTAAATTTTCCTCTTTTTCATTCTCACTTTATAGACAGGGCAATCAACTTCCAGAGAAGCTAAAGCTCAAAGTTTTAGCGTTAACTCTGGGGGACCATGCGCTGTGGTACCCTTGGTATCCTAACCTTGAAGCCAAGTCCAGAGTTAGGGGCCTACTATGGGGAGCAAGGGATGGCCATCTTCATGGGACTCATAGTTTGCCTTGGAGACAGGTCATGACAGCCAAGAGCAAAAGATACTGTCACAGGAACTTAGCGGATGCTCTGGGGCAAAGAACGGTAACCACTACGTGCTGAGGCTTGGGCAGGGCGCATATTTAACTCTATGTAAAATAAACCGGGGAAAGGGGAAATCAGAAACTGAGAAGGTTGCCCAGAAGGCTGTGGCTGGGAGATGCTTAGAAGACACTCGGTAACTCTGGAGCTAGAAGAGGTGAAGGACTCGTCACCAGCACTTCCTAAGGCTGTGTGACCTTGGCCCAGCCTCTCTTCTGCGCCTCAGTTTCCTCACCAGTAAACTGGGATAGATCCCAACCACAGAGGCAGGCGACAAAGCAAATACCGTACAGCTGACATTCCCTAAATGTGTGCGAGAAGTATGATAAATGCTGCCAGCTCAAAACCGAGAGGGTTGCGCAGGTGAGAAAACCAAGGGCGCTGAAGTCTTCCCAGTCACTAACACAAGCCCCACCGCCAGCAAATGAGAACGGCGCGCACGCGTCAATTCATGCCGTCACAGTCACGTGTCCCGGGCATTCTGCACGAGAGGCACACTCTGACAGACGGGACAGTTAACGAATCAGCGGGAAGAACTCCTCCAGGCGTCGGGAGGAGAGGCCGTTGATTGGAGAGAACCTCAGTCAGGGGCGGGTTCTTTGCTGTCCTTGGTTACTATGACGCCCGGCCCCCGCCCCCTCGGCTGGCCGCCATCTTGTTGTTGATCCGTACCCAGTGGGCAGCGCCAGGAGCTGGACCGAGCGGCCGGTGCGGGGCCGCTGCTGCGGGGCTCAGCCACCTGCGCTGCCTGCCAGGGGGCGGGCCGAAACCTGGAGGCCCGGGGGGCCCAGCTCCCGTGGGGAGCCTTGGGCGCCCGCTGCCCGGGTCGGGCCGGTGAGTGACAGGAGTCGGGCCAAAAGACCCGCCCGACACCCACGGCTAGGGTGGCGGCGGGCGCGGGGTAGTCGCAGGCGCGCGTAGGGCAGGGTCGGGACTTAGGCCGAGCATCACTGGGACATCATTCCAGCGTCCTGGTTGGCCTTCCGCCTAGCCTCCCAGATGCTGGCACGGAGGCTGGGAGGGCAGCCCGGGTGGGAGGTCGGAGAGCCCTATGCCCTAGGACCGGCGGGATAGCGGGAAACCTGCCTTTCTGTCCAAATCCCTGGGTGCCCTGACCCGGAGTGCTGAGACGTGGTCACTGCCCGCTTATTCTCCCGGCCATAACGTTCCTCCAAACCAGTGATACACGTATGTCGCTCTTAGATATCACACTCTTGCGAATAATTTTCTCAGGCCGCTTGAGACTTAGATTAGAAGAAACAGGCCTAAAATGTCTTATAAGCCAGGAAGGGTGGTTATCAGGGCCCTGCGTTTTTGGTAGGGCGGTGATCATCCGCCTGTCTTTTTCCATGGAGACCCCTCGGAACCTTCTGTGCTCTTCCGGACTCACTGTTTACTGCTTCGTAAAGAACCTGTTTTTTTTTGTTGTTGTTGTTGTTTTGTTGTTGTTGTTGTTTTGTCTTTTTTAATGTCCATAAAGGCTGAGTTTTATTTGGTTGTATAAGTTCTTTGGTGCTTGACCACTACTCTTTTTGGAATGTGTGTTTTAGGACAAGGATGGTGATGATTTGATTAATTTTGTCTCCGAAAGCGACAGCCCGTTAGGAAATGTAGGAGTATGTTAGGACTATTAAAAATGTTTTTGTTGTGGATGGTCTTGAATGGTCCCATTAACTTTTAACAGAACTGAAATCAGGTATGCACTCGACTGAGGCAGGAGGATTGCCAATGGGTTGCAGGCCAACCGGAGCTACATAGCAAGACCCTGTCTCCAAACAAAAGCCATGCGCAGTGTTGTTGTTGCTGGATGAAAACAGCCTGTCAGGCTTGTTTCTTAGGATGGAGGTGGGGCTGGCGATCCCCAGAAAAAGAAGAAGAGTCTGCGGCTCTAGAAAGGGTCCTGGCTGCCCTAAAACACATTTTTACCCAGGGTCCCTTAGTTCCTCCACACAGGTGTTTTGTGTGTTGTCATATGAAACCTATAAGAGATGATTAAGGAGGCCAAGCAATGTTTAATTTTGAAAGAAACCAGCCCCCTGGTCTGCAGGTGTCTTTGAAGAGCCAGGGCTGAATGAAGCCCGGCAGGTGGCTGGTTGTTGCTGTTTGATGTATGCTTGTGAGAAGAGAGAGGTTGAGTAGTATTGTTTATTTCATTGCCCTTCCACAGGGCCGCTTTTTGAATGATGCATAAAATTTTGGCTTTGGTGAAATAAAGTTTCTTGGGTAGTTATTAAAGGAGGAGATACTAAAATATTAGCTTCTCAAAATTGCCCCCCTCAGCTAATAAAATCAATTTTATTTATTTATTTATGGAAATTAAATCAGCCACAGGGTTAAATTTTTACTGTTTCTGCTAAAATAGCTTGGCCTAAGTTAGATTCTTATCTCATTTTGGGTATTGGATCTCTTAGTGATATAGAAGGAGACTATTAATCAAATTGTCAGCATTGACTTCTACATACAATCTCAGGG